CACACACACACACACACACACACACACACACACACACACACACACACCTTCCTTCCCCATCATGCCCTGAATCACTCCCGACAGTGTGTATTCCATGTTCAGCAGAGAGGAAACTACTTCCATCTCTGGTCTCATGGAAAAACTAAATCAATAACAAAAGGTCTTTCTCTTGTTCGGGCTCGAGAGAAAGAAAACGCAGAAGACGAGCTGCTGTTGAAACTCGAGGACATGAAAGGTTAGATATGAACATAACTTTGCTGCAGAAGGGTTGAAGCAGTAGCGCAGTGACTGGGTTGAATAAATCAAATCAGATCTCACGGTAAGAAGAAAATCAGATGCAGCTGAATCTCTGAAATGACCCGACCCGACTAACCGAACGCACATGTAACACGTGTTACCCTGAATAGTAAGAGGTCATGTTTGGCCCACCTTGATCTGATGTTGGGAGACATTCTGGTCTTTTGCATTCAACTGTAAAAGAACACGTCAGTATTGTATTTTGGCAAACAAACAGACATTACTTGTACCACTAAGAACTGTTTCTCCTTCTGTCCCACACCAGACGGTTCATTTCCACCCTGCTGTGTTCAGTTGTCAGCGTCCTGGTGGATTTCTTTCGTGGTTTTGTGTGCAGCCTCTGTTTCTTCTGCACACATACTCACTTACTCTCTTAACAAAAGCACTCTCAAGCTCAAGAAGGAGACTGTTGTTTATCTGGGGAGTTTAACTTCTCTACCTACTGGGGCATGTTTGTCCCGAGTACACATTTATTTCTGATCCTGGTACATTTATTCCTCTTATTAACAAATATATGATGTCGTTTGATGAAGGTGGTCTGCAGGAAATGTATAACCTTAATAATAAAACCATTTATTGGGTTCTCACCACCGAGCATGATCAAACATTGTGTTCTTATCTATATTAGAGATGCAGTGGAGAACATATAAAGGAATGTTGTTAATGTTTAGTTTTCTTTTCACCTTCATCCTCATGTCCCGGCCGTGCTTCTCCAGCTCCTTCTTCATCTCCTGAGCTCCCAGTCGGGCAGCATTCAGCACCAAATGCTTCCACTCGATTGGCTGGCAGACGTGGGGGTCGTGAGGCACATACAGGCCGATCTTCACCTGGGAGAAGCAGGGGTTGAAGTCAGAAGATTCTACCGATAACACACCTCCCTCCCTCATCCCGCCTCTCACCTTCTTCAGGGTGTGCTGGTATCTCTTGTAGGAGCCCTCGAACTCGGCCACCAGCTCCCCCAGCGTGCGGTGCGTCAGCGGTTTGTCCATGAGGTCCGGGCGGCGGCTCATGCCGAGCGACCCGTAGCGGCCGTTGCAGTAGACGCCCAGCACCACGTGGTGGAAGCAGTGGCCCAAGAACTGGGTCTTGAAGCTGATGGGGAAGCGCTCGAGAGACGTCAGCCCGTTGGTCAGGTAGCTGGTCAGCACACCGGAGTTAAGGGAAGGTTTGTGCCATCTGAAGCGTTTCTCAATTCATTAGACTAACTAATCTAGACACGCTTTGACCGCACTACTGCAGCTACACGTCTGACTGCAAAACTGAAACAAAAAAACAACATTTGAGGACAGAACCCCAGAGTGAAAGCAGAAGAGTATTTGTGTGGATCGGTCTCAGCAGCAGCTTGAGTCAGAGGACATTAGATTCAGTCTGACTCTCACTATGGAGATGCCACAGGGTAAACAACAGCTCTGTGTGTGCAGCACCTCCAGTCTGACTCGATGAGACAGCCGGCACCATCAGCAACCTGAGGAGGTATGTGTGTTTGACATGGGGCTCACTAGGAGATATGGAGGGATTATGTGCACATCTTGACCTTTGACCTCCTCATTCCAAATGCATAGTTTCCACCTCTCTCTCTCTCTCTCTCTTCTCTCACCCTTTCCTGCTCTGTAAGGCCTTTAAATCCATCAATGCAGGTTCACTCCCCATTTCTAAATGTGGAAGATTTCATTTTCAGTAAAATATTTAAAGTCATGTTTTCGAAAATAACTCTGCAATTCATACAGTATGACGTCACCCATTGGTTTGTGGACTACCGTATGAAGCCTCAAAAAAAAAAATGGCGCCATCTTGTTTTTTTTGCAACCAGTGAACAGAAGTGACCATATTAGGACTGCGGAGGAGTGACGTAGAGACAGCGTATACATCTCCGGTAGCAGCTGCAGGTTTCCTGAGGGTACTGGAGAGGTTCCTCTCTGTTTCTATGAATGGTCCAGTTTCACATGTGCTAGTTTCATGGCGGCCCTTCTCCGGGGCTGTCGGGGGGGCAGCTGAGAGTGACTTTAATTGAGACCGGCTTTAGTCCACAGATGAAAGTAAAATATATGAGCCAGCAGGAGTGAGGACTCTGCTGCTCTATCAGAGATGGACAGCTTGTGTATATATACACAGTGTCACCTTTCACCGCTGAGATCATTTAGTGGAAAAAGAGTCAGGCCTCAGTGAGAATTGAACTCACGACCCCTGGTTTACTAGACCAGTGCTCTAACCACTGAGCTATGAGGCCCTATGCAGAGACAACAATGAGACTCTGTTTAATTACCTGGTGTTAATGTGACCTAACCAGTCGACGCCTTCAGTGACTCAACCTCTGCACACTCTCTACTGACCTCTAGAGTCACTTTAAAATGTCCCAAAACATGCAGTCAAATATTACTTACATACTGTGAAAAATGAATGAGGAAGAACAACTGTTGTTGTGGCAGAGCTGTCTGTCCTCCTGTCTGTCCTCCTGTCTGCGCGAAACTAGAGACTGAGACCATAAACTCATGTTTACAATGTTTACTGAGGTAATAAATCAAGAGAGAAGTAGAGTCATTTTCTCATAGACTTTTATACAACCAGAGGAGTCGCCCCCTGGTGGACACTAGAGAGAACGCAGCTTTAACACATGAAGTCCCTTTCCTGGGAGTGTCAGAAGACTGAAGATGAAACATTCATCTCAGCTCAACAACATATGGATGCAACCAGAACGTTAACTCAACATTTTCTGGGATTTCAGATTAGTATTTGTAAAATGAGCACACACAAAAAAAACAGTCTACAAATGACACTGAATGAGGTCCATATTTAGTCAGCTCTCATGCTGAGACTGCACAGCTTCACAGAGTTCAGCACTGACAGGGATAGCTATCTGTGCAGCGCCACACACACGCGCACACACACAGGGTTACAGTAAGTCTGGCTCCTCTATAAACAACGATAAACATGTCTGGATGCTAAATGTTCATGTTTGAGATGATCTTGCCTCACAGAAGCACTCTGCAGACACAAAACACACCCTGTTCCTCTGCTAGCTCACTAAACAAACACACTTCCTGTGACGGAGGTGCTTGGAAGTAATCCGTCCATTCGTCCGTCCATTTCAAAACTAAATTAGAACCAACCGTTGCCTCTCATCCCATTCTATGTTCGAGAGGCAGAGATGAGTGAGAAACCTTATCTGTGGATGAAATGCAGAGCTAATCCCACGGCTCTTTAAATCCACCCTCTCTGTCGCTATTCCTCTCCAATCCCCATATCGCCGTCTTTCTCCCACCTCCCCCTCTCTCCTAGAGTTCCCTTCCTCGCTACATTTCAAAGCAGCGAGATACTAGATAAGAAAGAAACAAAAACTGGAAAAGGCATAAAATCCTCTTTATGTACGGTGCCCCTTTAGAGTCATGTGCTTTTCCTCATCATCAAGCAAACTCCAGGCTACACGAGTCCCTCCTGCAGCAGCTCGGGGAATGGTCTTGAAATATGGACACTCACGTCGAGGGCCAGTTCTCGTGGGCTGCGTTGCGCCTCTTAGTTCCAATTAAAGGAAATCTTGATGCTACAGCACAAAAGTATGTTTCAGACAATAAATAGTGTGCTGTAAACTTTGTGGCAAACGATTTGGGGACAAAGCCAAGGCCATGAATAAAATGGTTTTCACATTTCCCACTTTGGCATAAAGAGAGCTTGACAGACCTGCACAGAGCCCTGACCTCAACCCCATCCAACAGGATGGACTGGACTGAGACCTGAAAAGTGAAGTCAAAGCTTCATGTGTTAAACCTGCATTCTCTCTAGTGT